AGAGCTAAACAAAGAATTCTCAAATGAGGTCGAGAAGCACCTAAAGAAATGGTCAGCATCCTTAGTCATTAGGGAAATGCAAATCAAAACAACCCTGAGATTCCACCTCACACCAGTCAGAATGGCTAAAATCAAAAACTCAGGTGACAGCAGATGTTGGCAAGGATGTGGAGAAAGAGGAACACTCCTTCATTGTTGATGGGTTTGCAAGCTGATATAACCACTCTGGAAATCAGTCTGGCAGTTCCTCAGAAAATTGGACATAGCATTACCCGAGGACTCAGCTATACCATTCCTGGGCATATACCCAGAAGATGCTCCAACATATAACAAGGACACATGCTCCACTATGTTCATAGCAGCCTTATTTATAATAGCCAGAAACTGGAAAGAACCCAAATGTCGCTGGGCAGTGGTGGCGCACGCCTTTAATCCCAGCACTTGGGAGGCAAAGGCAGACAGATTTCTGAGTTCAAGGCCAGCCTGGTCTACAGAGTGAGTTCCAGGACAGCCAGGGCTACACAGAGAAACCCTGTCTCGAAAAACCAAAAAAAAAAGAAAAAGAAAAAAAAAAAAAGAACCCAAATGTCCTTCAACAGAGGAATGGATACAGAAAATGTGGTACATTTACACAATGGAGTATTACTCAGCAATTAAAAACAATGAATTCATGAAATTCTCAGGCAAATGGATGGAATTAGAAAATATTATCCTTAGTGATGTAACTCAATCACAAAAGAACACACATGGTAAGCACTCACTGATTATTGAATATTTGCCCAGAAGCTGGCAATACCCAAGATGCAACTCACAGACCACATGAAGCTCATGAAACAGGAAGACAAAGTGGGGGTGCTTTGGTCCTTCTTAGAAGGAGTAACAAAATACTTATGGGTGCAAATATGGAGACAAAGTGTGGGTCAGAAACTGAAGGAGGGGCTGTCTGGAGACTGCTCCACCTGGGTATCCTTCCTGTGTGCAGTCACCAAAGACAGATGCTGATGTGGATGCCAGGAAATGCATGCTGACAGGACAGGAGCCCGATATAGCTGTCTCTTTAGAGGTCTGCCAGAGCCTGACATATACAGAGGCAGATGCTCACAGCTAACCATTGAACTGATCACTGGGTTCCCAGTGGAGGAGTGAGAGAGAAGACTGAAGGAGCCGAAAGGGTTTGCGGCCCCATGGGGAGAGCAACAATATCAACCAACCAGAGCTCCCAGGTTCTAAACCACCAGCCTGGGAGCACTCAGGGACTCATGGCTCCAGCTGTATATGTAGGGGAAGATGGCCTTGTTGGGCATAGTTCAAAGAGGAGGTCCTTGGTCCCATGAAGGCTGGATGTTCCAGTGTGGGGGAATTCTAGGGTGGGGAGGTGGGAGTGGGTGGTTGGGGGCACATCCTCAAAGAAGCAGGAGGAGGGGGTATGGGATACGGGTTTCTCAGTGGGGGGTGGGAATGGGGAAAGGGGATAACATCTGAAATGTAAATAAAATATCCAATCAAAAACAAAAAAAGTAGACATCGTATTCCAATAAACTATAGGAAATATTAAAATACTATAAATATTCAAACAAATTCATTAAATTAAACTTAATATATGTTGATTTATTTGAATGTTCATTGAATACCTACTGGGCAGTAGTCTATAATATCAGATAGAAAACCCAGAGCTGAAAGACAGCCCACCTTGAGATTTTCACAAGGAACAGGTTAACCATATTAAGTGTGGGTGTTAAACACCAGGATTTGAGAAACCAGTTTTCATGAGATGATGCACAAGTCAAATCTCAAAAATGAAGGATACTGTGCAGCCATGTATTGTCTGCAGGAGTATTCTCTGCATGTGATGAGGATGAGACACAGGCTAGAGCTGGAGACACAGCCTAGCACGCAGGAGGGCCTGGTGCAATCCCTGGCACCACATGAGTGGGCATTCCATAAGCTGAGTTATGAGTGGTAGCACGTCTGTGATCCCAGCACAGGAAGGCAGGAGCAGAAGGAATAAGAGCTCAAGGTCATGTTGGCTACTCAGCAAGTTCAAAGCTAACCAGATACATGAGACCCTAAAGAGAGAGAGAAGAAGTCCGAGTCACAGCACAGAGATGTGAGGACAGGCTCGCACGTGCTGGCATTAAAGGTGTGCGCCACTGTGTCTAGCCAGAGATACATTTTAAATTATAAATGAACTCTCTGGGAGAGTTGAAGGATAGCCTGGGCTACAAACACATACACCCAGATAACTGCTCACGTCTGGAGCTGCAGAATGATGGTCCTGCTGTTTTGTTCAGCAGACATCACTTTCTGAAAGCCCGCAGCAGGACAAGCGCAACACCATTTTGGAATCCAGAAACAAGTGGCTTCTCCCTTGTGAAAACGAGCAGGGGGATTCCTAAGACACCCTCTTGACAGTCCACGTGCATACGTGTCTGTTGACTTCTGTCTTCAGGGCATGTGGTCCAATAAACACATGCAGACTGAAGAGCAGAGCCAGCAGCTCCTGGCCCATTCACAGGGAAACAGGAACGAAGCCGTAGAACATACTCACACACATCATCGGCTGCTCGGTCATCCTCCCCAAATACTTCTTTTTTTGTTGGTCATTTCCAGCAAGAATCACAGGCATTTGCTAACAAGGAAAATGAACATTAAAAGGGCAAGATATTTAAATTAGTTACGTAGATTCAGAAACACAGTTCAACGAATAAGAAAGAACGACCTGCCTCCCATAAAGGAGTAAACTTAAAGAACTGGCATTTGGTCTGAACCTAACATGTAGGAAGACACAAACTAATAAAAGCTTCTCCTTAGGTTATAGGTTGGGTGGGGCTTGTTAGTAATACACAAGCATGATTGACATATTTTCATCGCAGAAGATTGCAGGTAAAACTTAGGATACGCGACGTGGTCTATCCGAGCAGGCCTCCTAGACACTGCTCAGTACATTTCAGCACAGTGACCGAGCAGCAGGCCAAGGGGATGGCTTCCGAGCTGCCTCCATGGGAGCTGTGGCCAAGGTGTACAGTTTCCTCACAAGGACACGCAGAACGACCAGCATTGGAGACACCAGAACCACTGTGATTAGCCGGTGCAGTCTTAACTCCAGGCCGGCTAGCCAGTCTTCCTTAGAGTTCTCACAGAGATTAACCAACTGCATTGTCGGGTGTCTCATTAACAGCCCAGGTAAGCGATTAACATTTTTTAAAATGTAATTTTACTTATTTTGTACATATGCACACATGTGTGTACATGTATGTGTGCATGAGCTACAGCTCACTTCTGGAGGCCAGATGACACCTTGTCCCCTTTCATCACACGGGTCCCAGGGGTGGAACTCAGACCACGGGGTGCCTTTACCCACTGAGCCATCTCACCAGCGCCATGGTAAACAACTGCCTTAGTGACTTACCCCCAGAGAATTTGCTTCAATGGCAGTCTGCACCCCTGTACACCCATATGCCAGCTCTTCCGTAATCAAACAAGCGTCGAAAGTTCCCAGGCCAAGACCACCTATGTTGGCAGAGTGTACGTAGAGCGTCATAATACGAAGAACAACTCAATAAACTCAAAACCAGCTAGACACAGGGAAAATGCCTGCATTCTGTGCTGAGTGACAACCAGGCTCCTCCAAGCAGGCCAATACTACGTTGCAGAAATAGGGAAACTAAGGCAGAAAGCCATGGACCGGCAACAACATTTTAGAGAATGAGAGTTTTTGTTTTTTTTAAATTTTAGGAGCAAACAAAAGGAGGCTTACCGCAACTCTCTGGAATGTGTGCATTGATCAATCCAAGTTCCCAGGCTCTTTTGATGAGAGGGAATGGGTACTGAAAGGAAAAACAACACAGTTACACTACAGCTGAATCTAGGCAGGCTGGCAACACAACTTCCCCCGCAACGTGATACCTACTTCACCGCTTTTATCATATTCTGGGGCGACAGGAATTATTTCCTCTCTGGCAAACTTCCGGGCAGTTGCTTGAAACTCTTTCTGCTGTTCCGTCAACTCTAAGGGAACATTATTTTGAGAACATCAAAGAGGGACCATCAAGTTGAAGAAACAAGGTCCATGAAGCTGTTATGTGGAGGTTTATACTTATCATAAGTTAAGTTTCTGACCTCAGGAAGCACTCTATATTTTTGGATGTGAGCCTAGCCTTTAACGGCTGAGCCATCTCTCCAGCCCAGGAAGCACTCTAAAGACACAAGACGTACTCGTTCAGCATACAATAATAAAACTTGTTTCAGGGACTTAACGTAAGAACGTCAACACTATAATTTAAATTCCACTCTTCTTTTAAACCCCAATGAATTTGAGAATATAAGTTCCCATAAATTAAATGGTAAGAGTAATCAGAAATCTCTCCAAAATAATAACAGCCACATAAAACCTTCTGTATTAATTAACAAGCAATATTAAAACAAATGCATTTACACAAAATAAAACTAATTAATTGTGAGATGAATGAGATTGACTAGGTTGCCCTGACCCCTAGGGTAAGTGTAGATTGCTAACTGCATTTTTGTAGACCTGTGATATCTGGTGTTTCAATGTGGGTACATCGATATGATAGACAAGGCTGGAATGTAGCCTATCTAGTCTGTGTGGGACCCTGGATGCCATCATTCACACGAGGCTGAGGAGGGAGAGTTAAAGGTGGTATTGGGTATTTCAGGCAATTAGAGTAAGAGCCAAAGCTGAGAAGAACAAGCCAGGCGGGGTGGCATACACCCTTATACCCAACAAAGGAAGATCTCTGTAGGTTCAAGGCCAGCCCGGTCTACATAGTGAATTGCAGGTATACAGTGAGTCCCTGTCTTAAATATAT